TATAATGAAATGAGAATGAAACTCCAACATCGTCTTTGTCTGTTTTAATTAAAAAAGTTCGATTCAAAGAAGAGTCAGGATATTTCGGCTTTTTCGATAATTTTACTTACTCGGAGGCTCTGCCAGCCTTCCGCTTGCGTCGTGTTGATATCTTTGGCCCCCCTGTTGGTTCAGCCCTAAACAGTCCATAAAACAAATAGACCCCGTTCACATTGTGTAATATTGTATCAAAGCGGTAAGTTTTTTTTTTTAACTGTTTTCAAGAGAAAAAAAAAGTATCTCTGTACAGTATTTTATCCTATGGAGGTTAACACGCGAAGAGTTCGCGACCGTTCGCCATTCGATTCGTATACATTTTTTTGGCTATTTTGCATCTTTCTTTTTCGTATACGTATTCGTTTCTCCCTTTCTATGCTACCTCTCTCTCTTTTTTGTTCATATAGCAATGGTGCAACCACCACGTTCGTGCGTTGCGTGTAAGTACACATTCTGTGCGAGAAGCATACGACGGATTCACGTAAAATCGAGAGGTACGTGTAAAAATAAAGTTGCAGGACGTAGTATTTGTTTCTGCGATTTGGAAAGGCATTGCAAACTTAAATCACACAACTGTGCCAAGCAGAAAATTAAAAGAAGATCGAGGCATTGCGTGTTGTCAGGTAACGCGGATGTTCTAAATATAAAGCAACGGAAGTGGAATTTTCGACGTTATAGAGTGCTATAGCCCGTACGAATTGTCGTACGTGTATCCACGATCGGTAACTCTGACACCGAAGCAACGAGTTTGCCGGGAAAAAATGGCTGAAAACATTATTGTAGAACTACCGGTGATGCTTGAACAAAATTTCGCAGTATAACGAAATCATCAAACGAAAAAAAATTTCGCTGTACTGGGAACAGAAGAGTAGAAGGCAAATATGCAATAAATTTTCTCTGATGCGTGTGACGATTGTAAGCGATTATATATATGTATATACAAAATATGTGGTCAAATTTACGACCGTTCCATGTTTTCTAGTTTCTTTTTTTTCTTGAATGCATGTCTCGGAAGGTATTGAAAAATCGCAACGCGTTCTGCGGCACGTACATGCTCAGGATGTTGCTCAAACTAAAATGGATAAGTATGGAATATGTAAACATGAGTATTGGACAAAACTGTGATTAGAATCCATTAAATAATACTTGGATAAACCATGTATCGATATAATATCCATGACTGAGCCTGCACTGGCTGCTTATATACATGCAACTTCAAACTGTTATATGTTTAGTACGGTAGTTTATTTATTGTGCTCTTAATACAAACTTCTTATGGCACTGACAGAATCACAAGCATGATTCAATACTATGTTAGATACATATTCCGAAGCTGTTCCCCACATTTCTACCATGTGTTACTATTATACAATTCATATGCCATTTTCAATGCCATACTTAACTGTAAAAGCAATGTTTCTACTTGTAGAATTATACATTACATACAATGAAAGCTTATGCATAAAAAATCATACCATTTGTAAACACAACATTATATCTATACATTGGATTTCACATAAATAATAAACTCTTTCGAAGAGATTACATTACTTCCATTTAATTACAAGTAAAAGATTGTAAATTCAACTTGATGTTACTGCATATCCATCTAACAGATGGTTGATAAAGGTTATACAGCCAATTGTCATTATTTCTTCACTATTTATACTCTTATAGAGAAGTAATTTGAAGATGTCATTCCATAAAAAAAAGAGTACATTCAATGTTCAACAATATACGTCCGAATTACAAAATGGGAACAGCTCCGCATTGTACCTAAACAAATTTTCTTTCATGATAATTGTTATTATTGTACTGTTGGAAAAACAGCAAGATTACGGAACGAGAACCGTCAAAGAAATATATTCGCAATGACGAATACTAATCGGATCGGCTTTTAGCGTGACTTTTGCACGCAGCTAAAAGTGAAGTAACTAAAACGAAAGTATTGACACGTAGAAAACTACCTGTAATACGACAGTAGGCCATTTGACAGGACGAACCACCTTCGCTGGTAACCTTTTAAATAATTAGTCCATTTAAACAGCCAGCCTTTCATCTCCTGTGTACCGTGCTGAGCCTTCGGGTCGCCCATTTTAATAGCTGCGTGGTCACACGCGTTTTTCCTGAAATTATAATGCACTCCAATATCTGCGTACACATCACCCGTGTCGTACAGCCACCATTTTGATATTCCTCTAGCCCACAGACTGTGAGCTCTTAGATCGAAATTCTACTTATACACACTGTTTGTACGTTCGTAATAACACCAGCAGCGATACCAACAGACTCGAGAGCGTGCCTTAAAAGCACGGTATTCGGAAACAGTATGGATCTTCCTTTCGCACGGCGTGGTAACTCGCCACGTTCTCCAGTGAAGGCGCCTAACCTTTATTACCGAGTCACCTATATAATACTCGTACTCGTGTATACGAACACATGCAAATTTGATTACGGGTAATCTGTGATTTTGCAGATTTCTTGTCGTTTTATATCCGTCTACCTTCCTCTGTATTCTCACGGTTAAAAACAAAGCGACGTCGATTTCGAACGTAACACAGAAGGATACAACAAGAATCGATGTTCTTGATGATACGCATTTTTTGCACAACGAATTTCAAGAATTAAATTAAAAAAAAGGTTTTCTGAATACGTAGCACATGTTGTCTTTCTTGTAGTTTCATGGTTTAGACTGTAACGAACTAGAGCGTAAATTGACAGAAAGTTACTAGTTTCCCGTGAAAACGAAAGGAATCGTACAGAGCTACTGTCACTCTTGACGTTTTTCCACTGATCTAATTGGAAAGCAAAGTTATATACATGTCACATGCGTTAGGACTCTATGTCGAGAATGATGAATGTGAAACGTACAATTAATTCTAATACCACGTAGATGCATTTATTATTGTGATGGAAATTAACGAAAGTTTTTACGTACTTCTTAAAACGAACACGCCAACGAAAATACGTTCGTTCTGTCATTTGGCAAGATATGCGTATAGTCTGCTTGAAGGAATCGTTCCGCTTGAGAGAAATGTCATGAAGAAGCACTCGGTACACTCTTCGATTAGATGCTTGATACTGACCATTATCTCCAAACGAAACCAAGCTCTTAATTTATCTGAGCAGATCACACAACGTAAGGAGTACTTGAGTGCCTCTTCATTCTCTACCGTACGAAGAATATATTACGAATTTCAATGTATTAATAACTATGTAGTCACCTCACTTATTCGTGGTGTGTATGTACAAAACACAGAATTTAGAATCCTATGATTGACTACATCTATCAATCGTTTGATTCAGATAATTTAATGTTCCTTATTTCGATAAGATTTAATAAGTAAAGTCATAAAAGGCGGAGTTCAATGTTAGATTGCTTTATCGATAACATGAAAATGAACACCTACGTTACCGACTCAGTTTCACGTTAGTCACTTCAAGTAATTCTTATAAATTCCTATAGATTCTAATATAAAAATTCTTCAATAGATATAATGAAACATAAGTAATGTACAAAAATTATAAGAATAACTGTTAGAAAAATATGTGAACATGAAATTAAGGAACACAGTATTGTAATCACAAATCAAGGGATAAACCTTTAACGATATGAGATAGGGTATTAATAATTCTGTAATAGTATTGAAGAAGAGTGATTGAATTTTTGTAGAAAGTTTATAACTTCGTAATTTTACTTTTAAATTTGTGCAAAGGTAAAATTAAATTATATTGCACTCATAAAAATTTGTCAAGCTCATGACCTCGACCCTTCTATAGCACAAGTCTGCACTCCCTTCTACTTTTGCATACTTAATGGTGGGGAGACATTTACTTGTTGACTAGGCTGAGCGCTCCGTTCATATTGTCGTTCAGACCGTCTAAGCGGTAGGATTGATTTTTTTTTTCATTTCTAGACTTTTCTAAATTTCTTTTTTATAATTTTTTGTAAAAAAAACCTAACTAAATTCCACTTGATACAATACAAATTATTTATTTTCTATATAAATTATTCTTCAATGTAAGTTATTAAATTTCAGCTATTTAGGGTTATTTATGATATTACTTTTACTATATGTAGTTATTCTGTGATTATTTGATAAAATTGCAAACACGGTTTTTATTTTAATGATTTTAAGAGATCCATGGAACAGATAAGTCAGTAATGTTATCATTTGTTCTTACATTACCGATAATGAGATCTAATATTCCTGTCTGACATTTCATCATTTTATTTATTGAATCATATCGAAATAATAAATACTAACCTTAATCAGTAATATAGTTGGTTCACTTGTCAATACCGTTTCTTTGCTTTGCACGTATGTATAAATATACATATATGTCGAGTACATACACACGTAATATGTAACTGTTTATAATATATTAACATTTGTAACATATTTATGTGTGAAATAAAGATACTTTTAAACAATTTGTTTAGATATTATATATTACGAACACCGTTTGTTCTAAAGGTAGTGATCAGTATAATCAAGCATCTAATAAACGAGTTGCCGTATGAGACAAGCCTTTTTCTCACAATATTATCCTCAAGTAGAACAATTCTTTGAAACAGACTATACTTATATAATCTAAATTTTATTGAATTTATTAAGAAAAGTATACAAATTACAACAAATGTCATTCTTCCATGTTAGATCATAGGAAAAAGTCATAAATGATAAATAGTGTAAAATTACACTTACTCCCTTCGATCTAAATATATTTTCTAAAGATTAAGGAACACAATTATCCTTGCTATGTTGTACAAAATAATGGATACAATATTATAACTATTACATAATGAAACACAAGTTTGTGCGTCGACTGTTGCATGTTCCGAAACGAGATTCATTATTGAATGCGTATTCGAAGCGACAAAAAAAAAGGTGTGCGTATTTTATTTAATGAACAAAAAATGCTGCTTACTTAAAAAATCCTGTGCATTACTTAAAACAAACGAAACGGACGTACACGTCACTCGCTGTTATACGCACATATTAGTTTGTTAAAGTTAAAGTGTTTCGAACACCCAGTAGAGAAGCTTGACGCAGGTCTGCGCCTGTCAACCAGCAGTTGACCTGTGTAGTTGACTGTGGCAGTTGACCGATCGCGCGCTAATATATATTTTTCTTGTGTTTCCGTGTTCTCTCGCGATTTCCCTCGGTATCACTCGGTATCGTGCGATATACATGAGGTGATGAGAGAACCCGCGAAAGAGCCACACTTCGGACCGCCCAGGTGAGATGCCTGGATCTCGAAAATATCGCGTCGAGACATAATCTGGGGTAAGGGAGTAGCAACCTCTTGGGGCCACCGCTAGTCACGTGACCCCTCTGTTTACCAAAATGGTGAACATGTCTATGTTTCACAAATAATTCTTATTCATGTTTGATATCCGTGGAACATTTGTCTATGATAGTTCTATGAAACGGAAGCGAGGTTATGGTGAGCTTACCGTTAGCGTTAATATGTCGTAAGCGAACGGTTTGTGGATAGTATTGTTATACTCGCGTTACGAGTTTAGTTGTCACAAACGATTGTAGCGAAAGTTTGAAAGTAGCTGTACGAAAGTGTCTTCCGCGTATAATTTCTCAGTAATTTTCACTGGTGCGAGTGAATCGTCGCGACTTACCATAAGCTTTTCGAACGTATTTTCTCACGATGCGATGACTGCCATGTTAATTACACAACTCTTTGGGACTCATTGACCCATTGAAGTACTACTATTTTTTTGTGTTCCCTTTCTGGATGCGTCAGCTTCATATTTTTCATGTAATTTCCTTGATAGTAATCTTCATTAACCTATTTCATCGTTAAACGTCGTTAATAACAGTTACTTGTTTTGTTTTCCAAAGGGGGTGACCGAAGTTACACAAGGCCTAATTTCATTACTGACAATGTTGAATGCACAGTGTTGCAGGTATAATTTATAGATTGTGTTTCTATTGTGGAGCTTTTCATGTAGTTTATATTAACACATTATGTTTACAGTGATTACAGATGATCTCTGATGTAGGTTAGTGCAAGCAAAAAGCACTTTCAAATAGGACATCTAAATGTCAGAAGGTGTCCTAGCATAGCGTTTCATGCTTTGGCCAGGCATTTTTAAAGATGGCCACGTATCAAGTTGACTATCAGTGGTTAGTCTTACAATTAATATTAATCTTATGCTTGAAATATTACAGTCATTATACTATGTTGTGACTAGATAATTCTTAGTTAAAGTTAATAATGGTGTTCAACTATTAAACATTGTTTTAGGGCTTATACTATAATGGATTCATCTAGGATATCCACTTTCCTAATATCAATTTTATTGATAGTCTATGGCAGTTTCCGATCTTTAAATATGGAACAAGAAGCTAGAAAGGAAAGAGAAAGGGAGAAAAATGTAGATGGTGCTAATGGAAGAGTTCAAACCCTAAATACAATGCATGCTCTTTGTCTACCTCTTGGTGCTTCCATTTCTCTACTCGTCATGTTTTTCTTTTTTGACAGTATGCAGATGCTTGTGGCAATCTGTACAGCCAGTAAGTTTCATGGAATATTCATTCTTATTTAATGAAAGATAGCATCAAACGGAAGAAATTTATTTGCAGTTTTAGCTACAGTTGCATTGGCATTTCTTCTATTACCCATGTGTCAATATATCATTAGACCATGCTCAGATGGTAACAAAATATCCTTTGGTGTTTGTGGAAGGTTTACGGGTGCAGAATTACTTTCATTTTCATTGAGTGTGAGTATAGTATGCATCTGGGTATTAACTGGGCATTGGCTACTCATGGACGCAATGGGTATGGGACTTTGCGTAGCATTCATTGCATTCATTCGATTACCTAGTCTAAAGGTATCCACTATATTATTAACCGGACTACTGATTTATGATGTCTTCTGGGTTTTCTTTTCATCCTACATATTCAGCACAAACGTAATGGTTAAGGTAAGATTCTACAAATTTGTGGTACATAAAAAGATTATATTAAATTGTTCTATATGCTTGCTTCTTTATTTGTTAATAACAGGTAGCAAGTAGACCAGCAGATAATCCAGTAAATCTTGTGGCTAGAAGGTTGCACTTAGGTGGTGTAGCAAGAGAAGCACCAAACCTTCCTCTGCCTGGAAAATTAATGTTTCCATCGATGCGTCAAGCAGGACATTTTTCAATGTTAGGTCTCGGTGATGTCGTTATGCCGGGCCTCTTACTTTGCTTCGTCTTGCGATATGACGCGTATAAAAAGACTCAACTGTTGCCCGGTGGTTGTGAAACAGGAGTTCCACCCCCGCGTCACATCAATCGCATTAGTTATTTCCATTGTTCCCTCATCGGTTATTTTCTTGGTTTACTTACCGCTACTGTAAGCTCTGAGGTGTTCAAAGCTGCGCAACCTGCATTATTGTACCTTGTGCCCTTCACCTTATTGCCATTACTTACAATGGCATACTTGAAGGTACTTTTGACTTAGTTGTTCTTCTACTGTCTCTTCATGTGGACGAGGTAAATTGTACCAATATGATGTTTACAGGGAGATTTACGTCGAATGTGGAGTGAACCGTTCACATCTCAACAACCTTCCACACACATGGAAGTTTGACAACAGTCATGGGTTTGAGTATATTACACATTATGGGAGGAAAACTACTCGTAGAATCCCATTGTCACACTTATCATAACGTCCTTATTTTTATCAATGTCATTTAATGTAAGTAATTTTTTTCTACACATGCGTCTTTTAAATGTCACAATGCAAATTACGGTCTCATATTCGTGAGATGCGGTATGAATGATTTGCAACGTTACTAAAGGTATACTATACTGCAGACATTGATTTAACATGACATTAAAAAAAGAAAGAAAACACGAGTAACACGAGGAAGTTTCCTTCTTTTTTTTTTTAATGTAAAAGACAAAAACAGTTCTCTGAATGCGTATTTAGAATACTGTCTATCGTGAAGAATACATCGTTTGTATTCATTTCGTGTCTTAAATTCGATGTTGAGTAAATGGATGGACTATATATAGTAGATAAAATAAATGATACCGATCGTTGTCTCATGATTTTATATGCCAGTGAGAACTCGTTCTGAGATTCACTTAAAACAATGCGTATGAGTTTGTTTTTTATTTACCGTACAAATTTTTTTATCTAAAACATACATTTTTTAAAATTTATTTTTTTACATTAAACTTCGGTTGTCGCTGTGGGTCACGATAAGTGAGGCTCGTGGAGGGCATCATTGGGGACATGCCGAGTGAACCCAATAGTAGACAGGAAATAGCGGTCCATCCTTCAGGCTCTCCCGGAACTGAGAATGCGATATAATAACCTACACTAAACTAATAACATGTATACATACCGATAATTTCACTATAACTCCGTTATAAATGTGTGATATTCAATGCAGAAAGGTTCTTTTTAATTTATTATTCAATCGATATCAAGAATAATTGTATGTAACGTGTAGTTATGGGTAGAGTAATTTAATAATTATTCGAGGATTTCCACGATGATCTAGTGAACGTATGTGTGTAGGTTGTGACTTTCTTTTACTTGGGGCTAGTATTGAACAAAGCGTTCTCTATGCAAACGTGTATATAAATCTTTTTCTTTTGGTTTTGTATAACCGTAAGAGTTGAAGAGAAAAAAAAATTTACAGTTTGTTATTAGGATAAACAGCAAGCATTTCAAACTTGCCAAAAAAAAAGAAGAACGTCTTGCTAACTTTGTATAGTACGACGGAAAGAATTGAAAAAGATTTTTAGCAGTGATGAAAGTGGAAGAGTTGTAGATCATTATTGTCAAAAAGAGAAGAAAAAAAAAAACAATGAATTGCATATTCGTGTCTTGATTTTCAAGGACTATCTCGTGATAGAAAGGAAAATGAGTTTACGATTGCAAAATAGAGTGTTTTAACTAAGCTCTTGCTATGGATAGGCACCAGAAAGACTTTATATGTTTATTTAAAAACAAGACTGAAAATAATTATGTATGAAAGCCAACGTATTGAGAGGTTTCTCAAAAGAAGAGAAGAAAAACAATCAATCCTTTTCGTTCAATTTTTCTTGTATCAATTTATAGTAATTGTAGATTGATATGATACCGATATAATATTTAATATATGATACAATACTACGCAATGTGACACAAATAGATGGTAAATAATTGCTTTCATGATAGTCGTATTGATTTGCCGTAGATTACGAGAAGAAATTTAGAGATTGAGAAAAAAGAAACGGTGTTAGCTGTTCAACTATTTGT